CCGGCGTATAAGACGACCCCCCCACTTGGAGGCATGTTTTTCAGGGCAAAAAAGTCGTCTTATATGCCGGCAAATACGGTAATCAAATTCTGAATTTTTATGTATCTTTCCTGGCATCTGACTTCTATTATATCATGATAAAAAAGCATTATTTATAGTTATAATGTAGTTTTATTATATGGAATTATTTGTGGGGAAAAAACCCATTGATCTTATTTTCTTTGGCTCTTAACTGGAGAAATACCCAAAATGTCTATAAATATAATCTCTATGGTAAATCCTGTGCTTGCTTGATACTTGTTTTTAAGGGAAAAGTTTATATCAGATACAGAGAGACAGAAAGAGAAAGAGAGAGGAGAGAAAATATTTAAATTTTATAATGTAAATCATAACATTTTATAATTTTATAATATTTATAAAAATTAAAGATTTTCAGATGGTCAGAAATCATGGCACTGTTTTTAAAACAAAATTATGTACAATTATGATTGTGGCATTATGTTTATTTCAGATTAGTCTATGATTCTCCTTATCTGGCTCTCTACTTTTTCTGACTGTTTGGAGTGGGGATCTTCTTTTTCGAGTCTCAGTTTCTCTGATGTAAGTTTATTTCCAGTACTGTCAAATCTAGCGGTTAGGGCTTGGTTATGTTGCTGGTCCAATAAACAAGACATACACATTTACCATATAAATAAAGTAGTGGTATTATCAAAACCCTTAGGCTAGTGTTTCTCAATATCAGCAACTTTCAGATGGGAGTTGAAGTCTGCAGGCCAGATCTAAGTACCCTGTGGGTCCTGGGCCTTGAGTTTGACACCCCTGGTGTAGATCACACTTATTACTCTGAATTCAATAGATCAGTTTTTGACTTTGCAGTGCTTATTTGTTCATTAACTGGTATTAAACTTTGGAAATTTTGAGGATAGTATTTATTGCATAAAAGCAAAGTAGCTGTATATTCTTATCTATTCAGAACAGGGAGTGGCAGTATGGCACACCTGTGTTTCTCACAAAATGACACTTGTGTCCAATTACAATTTCTAAAATTATATTTACCCAAATCATGGTGAATAATTTATTTCCAGTAATATACATTTTGTGACAAAATTACCAAAATCTCATTCAGCTAGATGATTAGGAAGTTATTTAATATTTTATTTATTTATTAAATTTATAGGTTCCCCATCTCATTGTCATGTAACTCTGACTATTCAGTTTTGACTAATATGTGAGATCAGGGAATGTTGTCTATTCTAAAAAGAACTACAGATGTGTTCAACTTAAAGTAGTCTACCATTTATTTCTAAATATTTTGAAGTCACAAGTTACATACTGTAATGCTTTGGAAAAATGTGACATGACCTCAGGACATGTGGTAGTTGTTTACCTGGTCCAATATGACTAAAATATTCTTGAAGTTTGGAATTCTCATACTTAGGGCCCTATAAACCTAGAAGTCCCATTGATTCTCCTTTTTTTTTAGTGATAGCTATAGTCACATTTAACTCATCTTTCCAGGTTTTGAATGTGAATGGAGGCAATTGGCAACTCTAAAAAGACCATCGAAATATTTTATGAGTTGACATTTCTGCACACTAGTCTTTTGTCATAAGCTGTTGTACTTTTCCAACCAGTATGTTCCAAACACCCCACCTCCCCCCCCCAAAAAGAGATGTTCTATGATGTTAGAGTTTGGCTTCTTTTGGCGGAAGAGTTCAGTCATGATCACTTTTATAGGATGGAGAAAAAATTCAAAATAACTTTGTAGCAAAGAGAAGATGTTCCATACAGAAATTGTGCATCTCGGGCCATCACAGGTGCCCCCTGACATGAGTGATGTAAAGATGCCCCCCCCAAGGTCAAATACAACTCTGATGTGGCCCTCAATGAAATCGAGTTTGGCACTCCTGATCTAATATATATCCAAGATATTTTTCAGCGTTCTCTATATCTCAATCTCTGTTACAAACTGCTTCTGTTATTTCTTTTTGCTGTGTCTATATGTCTCAGTATTCATACATGGCCATTATCACATGTGGTCTTTTTCTTTTAATTGGGAGGGGGGGCTGTTACTAAATTTGCTCTGTGGATTAACACAATTCCAATCAGCCCTAATAAGGACATTTATTTATTAATTAAATGTATATACTACTCATCTTGCTATCCAAAATGATCTTGGATTCTTCTTGCCCTCCATTTGTTTTAAAGTAACCTGATGCCTTGAGCCACTATAGCCAATGGGAAGAGATTATATTGGACCTCTATTCTAAAAATATATGGTGGAGACCACATCTCTTAACGTTTAACCTTGTACAGCCAAAGTTATTGCTGATTGATTTATAGCAGTAATTTTGTTATTAAATGGGAAAAAAGTTAATAATATAATAGTCCCTTTCAGAAGGAAGAACAATTAACCTGCTTTGAATCACCAACTTCTTTTGCTAGTGTAGTAAGCTGAGAAAATGGTTTGGAGATTAGTATAGCTTTCCTTAACTTGGGTGCCCTCTAGTTGGGTGTCCTGATAGGTTTTCCAATCCTCTATTAGCTTCAATGAAGCTAAATAAATACTGCTTGCTTCAGTAAATGTGGACATCTGTCTCTGATTTGATGTTAAGAAGTAAAGCATCCGTATAGGTATATTTTGCATTGGCTTATGAGATACTTTCCCTTGTTCTTACTTCACCAGCTGCACTGCAAGCACTGAAAAGAAAAAAGAGGTATGAAAAACAGTTGAGCCAAATTGATGGGACTCTTTCCACTATTGAATTCCAGCGCGAGGCTCTTGAAAATTCCCACACAAATACAGAAGTGTTCAAGAATATGGGCTATGCTGCTCAGGCTATGAAAAAAGTACATGAAAACATGTAAGTGAAAAATGTTGTCAACCCCCACAGAAAATAACCTTAACTCTTACATTTACACCTATTTTGTGGGTTTCTTTCTTACATAAAAATCAAGATTCTTATTCCTATTTATCATTCTTGTATATGATGCTAATGTTTGTCTTCACATATAGATAAAGTTGCTAGGATTTTACTGTTACACATTAATCTAAAATTATATTCTTTTCTTGGATTTACCTTCCGTGCAGCAGGTAAGATTAGTGTGGCCTGAACCATAGATTACAGCAAACTGTACATATTGCTTCAACTGAAATTTCTGCATGGCTCTATCAGTAGGCATCTTTTTTCCTTTTATACTACCTTTCTCCAAACTGAATATACCTGAAGTTAAATGGACTTCAAATTCCAAAATTCTTCTGCTACGGTGATAATTCCTTAGAATTATGGGAAGTGAAGTTTGTACATCTAGAAGGTATACATGCTGGAGAAATAGAATCTTCCAGAAATCTTCTGAACATTTGGGTCCTTCTGTAAACCTTGCCACTTCAGCCATTCCAAAAATAGTACAGTGACTTTCCACAAGTTAATCCTCAAAATTGGAAATGGTTCATGATGTTCTGAGCATGAAACAGAATTGCTTTATGGCTTAACCCTCTCTAGGACACCATGTTTAAGTTCCCAAGTAGAGTTCCCCAAATCTCCAATATGCAAACTGCTTGAAAACTGATTGGGATTGCTCCTTATTTATGTATCTCTTTTGCATACATTTGCTTATATTATTATGTTATTCTGTTCACTACTGTTTGTAAGCAATTCAAAGGCTTTTATAGAATTTAAAGCTCTTATGGAATTTGGAACTTGGATATGTTAACCTTATCGCAGGCTAAACTTATCTTTGCTGGCCCTTTAAATGCCCTAATAAGCCCAGATAATGGCTTATAAAGACTGGGAGTTTATTCATTATGCTTCATTTTATTGAAGTGTTTTATTAAAGTAGATAACTTACTGTAATAATATATCTTTGCTATTTTCCCAGACTTTCAATATTCCCCTCCCCAAAATTTAAATCTCTATTTTGCTGTTGCATTTTGTTTTGATGATTATTGATTTTTATGAAAACTTCAGAATTTTACTGGAATCTACTATGCCATCCTTATCTACAGTGTATACAAATTGACTAACGAATTTCTCCTTCTATCCTTAGGGACTTGGACAAAATTGATGACATGATGCAAGATATCACTGAGCAACAAGATATTGCCCAAGAAATCACAGAGGCTCTCACAAGAAGAGTTGGTGATGACTTTGATGAGGTATGTTTTGACATCTAAGAACAATAAATGGTTTTGACTTTAATATTACTGCTAATTTTAAATTTTCTATAATTGTTGCCTAGTTCTTTTCTAAGTGCTTCAAAAATTTTCCTTAAATGCACTCGAATTCTCAGATGACTGAAGAGACATTTGTTCAAAAATAGACTGTTCTGTCTTGAATAAAGTATTCAAAAGAGAATGCAAATTGCTATGTCAAAACAATGCAAATACATAACCCCTTTTGCTATGACAAAAATCATTGGATTTCTGACATATCGGAATATACATAGATAGTAGCAATGTGTGGTGCATTCCTGATTTTATTCTAGCTGATCAGTCATGCATTCTTCTAGTACACTCTATTGTCATCATCTGGCATTCAGAGAAGCTGTGTACCACCACATGCAAGGAGGAAAGATTACAGTCAAGCTACTGTATTTTTCTCTATTTCCATTTTCACCACACTTGCAGACCAGCACTTCTGTTTCAAGGGCTTTATCTCTAGGTTGTGATTCAAGCCAGAAAATAGAAGAAGCTCCCTATTTTAGCCCACGAAGAAGGTAATGAAAGGTGGTGTACAAGATGGGCTCCTTGTGATGAATAACTGTTAGCACACCTCAAGAGGTCTTGTTCCATCCTTCTTTCCCTACTTTTCTGTTTTTGCCTTCATTAGGAACACATTTAATAAGCATACTCGGTACACATTGACCTATTTGGAGTGGAATACATTAATATCATTTAAATTGAGTGATCTTCTACCACTAAACTGGAGCAAATGTCGGTCTATACCAATAGCTTCTTATTTTACAGAACCAGAAAGCTATTGAACACTGAAGCTATTGAGCCATTTTTGGGTAGTAGAATGACCACAAAATAGAGCAGCTCTTTTTAAAACACTTGTAGCCTTTTTTGTATTTAACCATCTTTTGTATTTAACTATATTTTTAGTCAGTTACCATAATATAATTTTGGTATTTTTTATGTTATTTCATTGATGTTTTTATTACTATCAACCAATAGCTACTTAAAATATTTGGTTGAAATCTTGTCAGGTGCAAAAAATCAGATACATTCATAAAATTGCAGCATGGAATATTTATTCATACACAAGAATCTGGTCAATTAATGATCAGTACTGAATTGGCACCAGAAAAGGGTCAATGGAATTTAAGGGGGACTGGACTTGGATATCTTGTAGCAATGCAAGGATTCTAAGCTGATGACATGTTTAATTGTACCCACCAGCTCTGCCTGTTGTTCTACAGATTTCCAATGAAGTTTATTTGTACTAAAAATATCCATTTATATAGGTCCCTGGCATGCTGAAAACCCCAAATAAAGTTTCTTTTATAAAGTTTGTTTAGGCAACTACACTTGGTTGGCTACAATTGTGAAACTGTGGTAATTAGAGGTTCTTTTGACATTAGGCATTGTTTATTGAAATATAACCTGCCAAATTTTTAAAATTTCAGGATGAACTATTGGCAGAATTAGAAGAACTGGAGCAAGAGGAACTCGATAATAAGATGAAAAACGTTCATTTACCAAGTGTCCCAGCTACCTCATTGCCTTCTCATCCTGGTAAATTGTTTTCTTATATTAATTAGTCTGTTATGAAAGTAGGCTATAGGAATATTGAGGAGAAAAGAAAAAACCACAGAAATTTAACATACCTGGATATAATAGCTATCTTGATATCTAAGAGTGATATCAATTCCTGATGTGAATGATGAGTACTTATGACAGGTTCTCATAGTTTGGGCTGTCATCTGGTCCCAATTTGGACACCTGACAATAACTTCACAATTATGACATCACAGCATCCTGTGTCATGTAATACAGTGGTCCCCAACCACCGGGCCCCGGACCGGTACCGGCCCGTGGATCATTTTGTACCGGGCCGCTGGTTTGCTTGGGCGCCACCATCTTGTTTCGACGGCGCTTGAGAAAGTGCTTCCGGGTGAGCTTGTCGGTCGTCGGTTGTTGGAAAGCGGCGTTTGGGTGCTGAAGGAATCCTCACGCCTTAGTTTCATCGAAGGGGGGCGCAGCTTCGAACGAAGAGCCATCCCGATGGCGGTGGAGTCTTGGGTTACTCAGGAGGAGATTAAGAAAGAGGCCGAAAAGCACAAAAAAGGTACAAAGGAGGAGTTGAAGGTGGCGGGGGGAAGCGGGGGACGGCTGGCTGGCCGGTCGCTCGGCTCGCCTTGCCTTGGTTGTGTGTGCTGATGCCGGTACTGGTCCGTGGATCATTTTGTGATGCCAGTACCGGTCCGTGGTACAAAAAAGGTTGGGGGCCACTGATGTAATAAACATTTGCAAACTTCATTCCCAGCTTTCAACAACCAATTCAATGGGGAAGCTGGCAGAAAGTTTGGTGATCACTTGACTACAGAATGTTATTACTGCATGGGATTTGCTAATAATGGCAACTGGAACTGCTATCATAAGTTGGTGCAGTCACATGATGTGCCTTCCTTGCTTAGCGATGGCTTTCTCAGTTCCAATTAATGTTGGTAAGCGATGACTTCTAATTGTAACTAGACTTTGGTGAATGAATACATTGTACACAGAGTAATAATTTGGCGGTAGCTAAAGCTGAACTTGGTTTGATTATTTGGATTTGAAGTCTTGTGATCTGATGTAAAGCAATGCAAGTAATTCTTATTGAATAGACCTACTGAAGTCATCATCCCTTTACAAGATGTGTCTTGTAAAGTATGTCTCTTAATTTTTGAGCCACAATGCCTCTAATCCAAATACTAAGTCTTTCCAGAGACAGCAAAACTGTATATTTGTTGTCCCAGTATATTGAACAATTATTATCTTTTGTTATAGCGCCTTCAAAGAAGAGGGTGGAAGATGATGAAGATATGAAGCACCTGGCAGCATGGGCATCTTAACAGCAATTTCTCACTGGCTTCAAGGGAACACTACGGGAATATCATGGAAGGACTTCATGGAATAGTGCTTATGTTTTATACAGAGTGTAGCTGTGTGGAATTTTGACCAAAATTGGTCTCTGGTGGAATATGTGTATATATTTTATATAGTCTTGTATATATTGTTTTTTTTAAAAAGCCAGCATTCTCAAGTATCTTTCTCCTTCAGGTATATCTCCAAACATACCATTTTTGCTAAAGAAGCCAGATAATAAGCAAGCCTGAAGTTAATTAATGTTATTCTTCTTAACTGATACTTTTTTTAATGCACAGAACATGTGTAGGTTGCAAAACCTAATAGTGCAATAGTGGATGTTGCAGTGGTTTGAAAGAGAATTAAAATTGGTTTGGTTTTGGAGTTTCCAAATATTTTCCCAAAGAAAATGATTAAAACCCATGGCCCTTAGGTGGACGAGAGAAATCCTGTAGCAATTTTGCACCGAGTTCTTTGTTTTCTGTGGGTTTATTTTATAATGGCTTGTTCAGAGTACAAAGTAGAAATGAAGATTTTGTACCTTAAAAACTAAGATAATGATGAAAGTGGACCTCTGTTGAAACAGAGAGAGAATACATTCTCTATGCAGAGGGCCAAAATAAGTGGATTAAAACTAGAAGCAGTGGGTTCAAGGTAGATGTCAGGAGGCCTATTCTGACTGTATGAACTGTCATCTACAATAACAGAGACTGTAGAACAAGCTGATGAGGTTTTTTTTTCCAATTAAGTTCTTCAGCAGAGGTGGGTGAACATCTACCAGATCTTGCATTGAATAGATAACCTCTTCTGATCCTTCCAGTTCTGTTCTGTGAGAGCTCATCAGAGCAGGAAAAGTGTTATAGATCTATTACCAGCTGTGTTTAGATGATTGGTATGCCTTGAAATTGGTTGCTCTAGGGCTGTGATGGCAAACCTATGGCACACAGAGCCATTTGTGCTGGTATGCGAGCTGCAGGCAAATTTACCTCATTGTGCATGTGCGCGCCTCACAGCTGATATTCAGCAGGTTTGAGGCCTTTTTCTGCCTCCCAAAGGCTTGAGGAAGGCTTCTTCAGGCTTCTACAAGCTTTGTAGGCTGAAATCTATCCTCGTTTCATGACTTCCTGTTTTTCTGACAAAACAGGACTAGATTTCGGCCTACAAAGCTTGTAGAAGCCTGAAGAAGCCTTCCTCAAGCCTTTGGGAGGCCGAAAAAGGCCTCAAACCAGCCAAAAATCAGCTGTGTGAGGCACAGTGCAGGTAAGGGGGTGGGGGTAGATGGGGTGGGATTGTGTGTACATGTGTAGGGGGCGTGGGGGGGCGCATTGCCTTCTGGGTGCTGGCACGCAAGCACGAGCGTGCAATCACGCGCACAATTTTTGGTACAGGAGCCCAAAACGGTTAGCCACCACTGCTCTAGGGGCAGAACCAGGGGTGGGATTCTACCAGTTCATACCTATTCATTAGAACCGGTTGTTAACATTCTAAGCAGTTCGGAGAACCGGTTGTTAGAAGAAATTACTGGCCTAATCCTGTAAGGAAGGCAGGAAGGAAACATTCTGGTGTTGCTTACAGAAACTGCCTCTCTGTTAACCCTTATTACATTCTTGGCAGGACTAGACTTCCTGTCTCAGGAATGTCTCTGGAGTTTTTTTTCCTCCTTTGCTGGTACTTTGCTTGTGTGGAGTGACCATTCAAAGTTAAAATGGCACGGAAAAAAGTGACTTATGACCATTTTTCACACTTACGACTGTTGTAGCATCCCTACAGTCATGAGAGGCCAGGCGAGAAGATGCGTGCCTTGATGTGAGTGATAGAGTTAGCCACACCCAGCCAATAACATGATCACCAAGCCATGTCCACCCAGTCACATGACCACCAAGCCACGCCCACCACCTAAGCCACGCCCACAGAACCTCCTGTTAAAATTTTTGAATCCCACCCCTGGGCAGAACAGAAAGAGCTTTGGATTGATTGACATGTAGGTTGTTTATAATCCTGAGAAGTCTCAGGGATGAGAGTCCACTACCCATCTAAGAGGTGGAGTAATTGATTCTCCTACTCCATTTTTAATGGATTGGGAATTAGTGATTCTGAACTATGTTATACCATGGTTGGGGTTTTTTTAAAGGTTTTCCTTGTCTGCATAAGTCATTAGAACACTTAAGAGTTCATCACTTCTGTCTTAACCCACATGCACTTAAAACTAATCTAGAATATTCATATTTTATCAAGAACCCAATTAATCACTGAATATAAAAGGTGATAGAGGCATGTAATCTAGTGCATCCAGGGAAACTATGATGTACTATGCAATCTAAAATACTAGGGGTATGATTTGTTTTACTCAAATTTAGTAGCACCAACTTTTACTGATTTTTATGTAAGTTAGATTAATTTGGTTTTATCAAAGGAAAAAAAGTAGAATGAATTTTTTTGGCTGAATGACCAGCAAATGATAATTGAGTTAATCAGCGTCTTTAAAAATAGGAAGTCATAATTCAGTAAATGAGATGGATTACATTCAAGTAACTGTGTGCTGGATTCATGTATATTTTCTTGATGGCAGACTCGACATTGCAGTATCTTGTCAGGCAGAAAAATTGTATTATCTTATGATTGTGATTTTTAAATGAACTTTATTCACTCTATTTCTTCATTTTTTGGTTTGGATAGTATAGTTCTCTTTAAATATTTCAATACAATAATTTATATGATGTTTATGTATCTTCTTTGAACTATGTCTTTTAAAAATCTGGGAATGAAATCATACGAAGAAAAGATTTTAAATTTCTCAAAATAAGAGACAATTTCCAAAATTATTATGCATGTCAGTGTTTTTTTTAATCCCTGAAATTAGTCTCTGCATAGGCATTTTTCCTAGTCCCTCTCCCTTTTGAATTTTAATTTAAGATGACATTACTGTTACTTTCCTGGAATATAAAATATTTAAATATTATTCTAATAAGTATTAAATTGTGCAATTTAAAATCTGACATTGCTTTTTTACAAGAAACATATTCCACAAAGGAAATATATGCAGCACATTTATTATTGTGTATCTTTGGAAATTCAGCATCTACTAGGTCTAAAAGGTCTCTGATTTATTGTTCTAATCATAAAACAATAAGTGATCCAGAACAATTTTTAACAATGGCCATTAAATAATTTGCTACCTGTGCCGAACTGGGTCTAAGGATTATCTAGACATATCACACTGGAGTTCTAACATCTTTTTACTTTAGTAGAGGAGATCAGATAATTTCTTTATTAAATCACAATATTATTCCACCTAAATGTAATTCTTGAAATGGAAAAAAATGTTTTTATATTAGAATTTAATTTAGGGATAGTAGCTTTTTAATTCACCATAGCAAGGGGATACTAAACTCCAGATTTGTTCTCAATTATTTTTTAGTATTTTGGTGTTTAATTGAATGGATGGATAAACATGCTTTTTAATTCACCATAGCAAGGGGATACTAAACTCCAGATTTGTTCTCAATTATTTTTTAGTATTTTGGTGTTTAATTGAATGGATGGATAAACATGCTTTAAAATTTTCTCCCGAGATTCAGTAGTATGACTATTTGATACACCTTTAAAGCATCATGGTTGTATTAGTATGATTCATGAAAAATTAATGGGGAAATTTTGAGAAAAAGAAGAATAATTTTTCTGAATGCAAAGGTAATAATACATCCACATTACATGAAGGTTTTCAGAGTGTAGTGCAAGAAATTCATTCTCTTTAAGCACTTAATACATACATATTGGTAGTCAAAAGAAAGACCCAATAAACTACTTGTTCCTTGATAATGCAGTTAAACCAGAGGTGTCAAACTTGTGGTCTGGATCAGTGGTCCCCAACCTTTTTTATGCCGCGGCCCGGTACCGGCATCAGCTGGGCGCCGCGGCCCGGTACCGGCATCAGCTGGGTGCCGCCATCTTGTTTTGATGAAAAAGTGCTTCCAGTGAGCTCACCGGAAGCACTTTTTCATCAAAACAAGATGGCGTCGCCCAGCAAACCAGCGGCCCGGTAGGATTTGTTCCACGGACCGGTACCGGTCCGCGGACCGGTGGTTGGGGACCCCTGGTCTGGATGAGTCATGTGCTGGCCATGTCCCCCCACTTTAGCGAAGTGGGGAAAAAGCTACAATACTTCATGTGACAACAATGTGTCATCACAAATTTGACACCCCTGAGTTAAACCAATATTTCTATTATCAAAGATGTTGGGATAAAATATTTAATAATTCCAATTTAACGAGCAATTAGTGATACAATTACATCCATGGAAGCAGGGAAAGGTCTAAGCCTGATGACTTATCACATTGATTATCACTTATATACATATACACAGAAACACCCAGTACAACCTGAGTTTTATAATACTTTCCTTGAAAAACATTTTCCTAGCCTCTATTAGCCTTAAATAGCTGTGATTTTGATAGCTTCTAAAAAAACCTGCTGACTGTACAACTTTCTTAAAATGATGCCAAAACAACTAACTGACTCCGTCGTGCAGTTTTCAGATAATACGATTCTTGATTATACATCTGGCATAATCTGGTTTTATAAAAAGGGAAGTGTCTTATAATATGTTATTAATATAATGGATACATATTTCATAAAAATTGAAATCAATGACTTCATAATTGTAAAAGGAAAAGCCTTTGATGTTGATATAAGTTGTTCATTTAAACATTTTAAGTCAACCTACTTTAGATAGCTTGTATTATAACCAATTATAACAAATTACAACCAACTAAATCAACACAAAAACAAAATCAGCAACACTGATATCAATCAATCCCCAGCTGTCAATCTTACATTGGGCTTTTCCCTCTAAAAATATTTTTTAAATAATATTCTGAATGATAAGAAGGTACTACTCTGACTTCATAAGGCAAGTTGTTCCCCTTTAAGGTTCTGTGACTGAGAAGGTCATCTACTCAACTTCTCCCTTCTTAACTATCCAGAATGTGGAAATTATAGCATGCTTCACAAGCTTCAAGTATTCGGGAAACAGAATCTACCTAAGATGGATGGTCTTGAAGATAAAAGAGAACAACCATTCAGGGCTTTATACAATATGTGATAACCAGCACCTTGAATTTTCCCCAGAAGCCAACTTGTAACCAGTGCAACTCCCATAGCATTAAGGTGCCTCTGCTATAGCACCTACCACTGAGCGGATGGGCAATTTCATTCTATGCCAACTGTAGTTTCCAGGTGATCTTCAAGAATAGTTCCATGTAGATAGAACTATAGCTAGCAATTGATGAAGGCATGGGTCACTATTGCCTTGACTCTTAGTCCAAGATAATTCACTAGTGATTGGACCAATTGGACTTAACCAAAGATTCATCTAACCATGAAACATATTTTCATAGTTTCATTTTGAAACTAAGAGAATCCCCAGACTGTGAGCCAAAATCTTCAGGATTATCTCAGCCAAAGCTTTCTTAACCACTTTGGTACAAGAGGGCCTCTTTTTTTAATAGTACCCCCTCCTTGCTGAGGTCCTCCTGAATCTGTTCCTTCACATGAATTTAGAAACTTTTGAAACAAGTCTTGGTCAAATACAGACTTTGTATTTTAAAAAATTAATTGTATTAATACATAGTTCTTAAATCTGCTAGTAGTATTATGACAATGGAAATATTTTCATCAATATGTGTTGTGGAACTCATCTTAAACTGTCTACTGCATATTTCTTCTTTCTTTAAATTAAAACAATAAAACAACAAAGAGCAAAGTTGTGTTTGAGAAAATCCTTCCCTTTTCTAGAACTTAAGATGACACTTCTGTTGAGAAATAATGGTAGTAATTTCCCACTGCAAGCTTTCTCAATATGTTGCTCTTCAAATGACCCAGACTACAACTGTTAACACCCCAAGCCGGCAGTCATT